CTTAGTTGTCACAACCCCACTCCTATCTCCAAAGATCATCTCAGCTACCCACTGGGTCTGTGTCCACGCTGGCGTCATCCTCTGTATTCACACGCATGCACGTGTAAAATAAGACATGCTCCTATTATATAGTTAGACTTTGCGTCCCCACCCAGATCTCATCCTGAATTGGAAGCTCCAGGGTTTGGGGAGGAACCTGGTGGGAGGTGATTGGATCATGGGGGTGGTTTACCCCATTCTGTTCTCATGATATTGAGTGAGTTCTCATAAGATCTGATGGTTTTATAAGGAAGTTTTCCCTGGATTCTGTCAAATTCTCTCTTTCGCCTGCCACCATGTACCATGTGCCTGCTTCGCCTCTGCCATGATTGTAAGTTTCCTGAGGCCTTCCCAGCCATGTGGAACTGTGAGTCATTTAAACCTCTTTCCTGTGTAAATTGCGGAGTCTCAGGCAGTTCTTTCTAGCAGTGTGAGAACAGAGGAATACATCCTAGGTTCTAGTTTGTTGTATGTGAACGTGTTACACTGTGCATGCTTCTCTGCACCATCCTCCAATCACTTTGCTACACATCTTGCGGATTCTGCCTTGTCAGTGTTTACAGGCCAGTCTTAGATTGCTTATTTACCACAAATAATCTAACCATTCTATCACTGAGGAGTTTTGATTATACACAATATCACATTGAAACATTTTATGCAGGTATCTATGCATATGTGTGACTAAATATATATTTGGTAGATACCAGGAACTGGAATTGTCAGGCTAGCATATGCACATTTAAAATTTTCATTCATGCTGCCAAATTCCCGACACAACAAGGTTGTTCCATTTGCATCCACGCAAACCTGCGTGAGAGTCCTGTTGACGACATCGTCCCCGCTACACAGAAGACAGGGGAGGCTCTCATCCCCTTCCTTGGCAGTGGGAGTGCTACCGGCCCTCTCTAAGCCACAGTGGGAAACAAACCTGTTTCCACTTCGGTGTTAATTTTGTGAAACAAGGCAATTGTGGCTTTCAGTTCACGTCTAAGTTTAAGAATAGCTAGTAAATTAGAGGATAGATTATTCATATGATGTCTTTATCTATAAATACTTCCAGGTTACAAATTGCATTTGCTGGTGTCCTTTTATGTGGTTGGTTGACATGTTGAAATCAGTGGTCTCTTACTTAGAAGTTGAGATTAAGGTTATATTCTAGGCCAGGTGCGGTGGTTCATGCCTGTAATCTCAGCACTTTGGGAGGCCAAGGCAGGCGGATCACTTAATGTCAGGAGTTCAAGACCAGCCTGGCCAACATGGTGAAACCCCATCTCTACTAAAACTACAAAAATTACCTGGTTGTGGTGGTGGGCACCTGTAATCTCAGCTACTAGGGAGGTTGAGGCAGGAGAATCGCTTGAACACAGGAGGTGGAGGTTGCAGTGAGCCAAGATCGTGCCACTGCACTCCAGCCTGGGTGACAAGAGCAAAACTCCATCTCAAAAAAAAATAATAATAAGTTATGTTCTAAATATTGATATTGTACAGGTGATCTACGGGAAGAACTGAGATGGGAATGTCCGTGTATGGGAGGTAGATCCAAACCTTTTTAAATGCCAAAAATACATTCCAATGTTGCAAGTAATTGAAGTCATCCCACAAAAACTTAACTGACCTAGACTTAAAGCAAAGCTCACATGAGTGTTTATAAATGAGAAGGGTGATGTTAAAATTGGCTATACATTCTTTTCCTGATTTCCTATTTTTCTTTTTAAGATGTCCCCATTTATTTACTTATTATATATTTCCTTTTCCTTGTCTATATGGTCATCATTATCTTCTGAAAATGGCCGTTTCTTTCTTTTCTCTGAAAAACTGAAAGTGGACATATTCTCAATCTCATCTCCACCTAGAAGCTGAGTGACTGTCTGATGAGCACATACTAACACAAAGGCTGTGAGCAACGCAGTGAGCTAAGTGAAATCCATTTAACTTGGTACAAAGGAAACAAGTTCCTTATTCAGCCAGGAAAGGCTAACGGGGAACCTGCTATGTACTGCATAGTGCAGGCAGCTTATTCATCTCAACCCAGCCCCTGAGCAAGGAGATCGCATGGCTGTTAGTCAGTAGAGATGAGCTACAGAAACAGGCGGAAGAGCTGGAGATGCACCTGCCAATCACAATGGGGACAGGCGGCCAGGACTGCCCTCCAGCCTGGCTGCTATGATGCACTGTCCTCTCTGGCCATTATGGATTCCAAATTTGACCACTGAAGGGCACAGAAAACATTCTTAAAGCAGTTTTCCTGTTCAGACAGCATCGAGGCAAGGGTCCAGGAAAGTACGCAAAACCAGGCTCAGGCGTCCTTGCATGCATTTCAGAGGCTCCTCTGAAACTGGCTCAGTTCACAAAGGATGGTTTCACCTTCTCCTTATGGTGGTGTCTGAGGTGGGCTTTTGTCAGGCAATTGTCTGGTTCTTGCTGTTCAGTGTTAACACGTCTGAAAAAGAAGCACTATCAACATATAGCTCTCATCTTTTAACCAATCTCACACAGAACTGTTAGGGTGAAAAACCAAGAGCATGACCCATTTCCACTAGTAGCTAAGCCTGCAGGTGTGATTTGGGTTACCAGACAGGCACAAGCACTGCCATTTCAGCAACACTCAGCTAAACAAAAGGTCTTCTTGACAAGAAATCTTAGAAAAGCAACGATGGCAGGAATGAATATGTGTGCCTCAGAAGCTGATACCTGCAGGAAAGGTCACCAGGAGCTGACTTCTTTCCATCTATGTCCCACAGGGGTGGTGGGCACCACCCTGGCAAGAGAGGATGGAGGAAGACTGGCTTGGTTCTTCCTTTCCTCAGCAGTGCCCCATGGTGGAGGCACTTCTCCGAGAGAAGGAGGTTTGCATGATAATTCCCGAAACCACTGAGCCAAGACTCAAAGCTACACATTCACACTCAACACACAACACACGTAGAAAGGAAGTCTGAGTGAGCCTCACAAGGAGAGCACCACACTTCTCTACTCATGGCTCACTTGCTGCCTGGGGATTCATATCAAGTACCACAGCAGTGGGATTCTGGCTTAAAGCATTTGGTGCTAAAAAACGTATTTAAACTTTTAGCCCAGCCCTGCTATTGTCAGATACAGAACCTGAACTTCAGAGAGTTTTATTCACTCAACAGACGTTCACACCAAGATTGGCTGAGATGGGTCTTGCTCACCCAGGAGTAATGACCGTCCATATAATCAATAACACTTGAAGGAACGAATAGTTATATTTTTAAATCATATTATTTCAATATTAATAGTATCAAGTTTATATGCTAGTTGCCTTAGTATAATCTGATTGAGGAAGTAGGGACCCAGTTCAAACAGTTAAAATCAAAGAGGCCAGTTCACAGGGAGTATCCACCAAGTGGACATTCATCCTCATCAAACTGTCCAGAAGGGAATCTCCACATGTGCTCTCACGTCTGCCTCTGTCTCTGCCTCGAAAGGACGTGGGTCTGAATTCCGAGCATTAATGATCAGAGCAAACCTGAGCTAGAAGAAGGCGTTGTTTGTCTGGGATGATTGCTCCTGAATCTTTGTAGATGATTTCAAGGTAGTATGTCTGATGCAGGGGCGTTTGCCTCAGGAAGAAACTGCAAGAATTCCTTGCATTTATACTGTGTGGGTGTTGAGAAAAAGCCATAAAACACACCACTGTTATCAGAGATTTTCCAGTGTAGATAGCTGTGTACTGCTATAAATAAGACCCCAAATTATAATTTGTGTTAAAAACTATATATTTTTAAATATTACAAAATAACTCCAAACTGATACCTGTAGACTTTGCAACAAAATGAATACACTAACTCTCATTCAAGTTTTGAACCTTTATTTTTCAGGGTAATTTTAAAACCTCTCTAGCTCCACGTATCTATTTTGGAATTATTTTGTTCTTTACGTGTTTGTTTTAGTAAATTCTAATTAGGGGAAATATTAATAACTGTTACGGTTGCATTTTATCGGCTGCCTTTGTGTTTCCTAGGAAATCTTGTGTTATCTTATTTCAAGTTCCACTTGCTAAGCACTCTGGCTATCATCTTATTACAGGCGGGAAGTACAGTATCTGTTAGAGGATTTATGGTAATGCTGCTGCATCTAGCTGATCATAAACAGCATGGGGAGCCCCTCAGGGTCTCTTCGTTCTCCTGACACACTTCACTGAGGCCCATTAACACTTGTCTGTTATTGCCATAGACGCACTTTAATGAGCCTCTTGGAATTAGGAGGTTTGCACCAGAAACAATGGCTTCCCTAACTGAGGCATCACCCTCTCACTTTCTGATTTTCTAGCTCATCATTTTGTTTAACAAAATAAATTCTCTCTTTGGTAGTAGACTTTGAAATAGTATGGATATTTCTTCTTCAAATTAGAACAGTAAATGGTTTCTAATACTGAGATAACATTGCAGAAAAACATGATAGAAAGTTAACAATTTCTACATTTCCATTAATGAAGGTAATTTCTTTTGTTGTTGTTACAGTAAGGTAAAATTGAGCTGACATTTGGAAGTGGCCTTGTCATTAGCAAACTATATTTTCTTATGAATTAAATTCTCTTATTTCCAAAAAATAAACATACAAAATATTTCTCCTGTATTAAATTGTTTTCTAATTACATCAAAGTGTTAAAGGAGGCAATCATCTGAGAAATGGGCCAGTAATGGCTCAATCTAAATATTAAGTGCATTTGATTTTACCTTCAAACCTAGGACATGTATTTAAAACTCCTCAATATCTTAGGTTTCAAAGTAAATTAACTAAATGTTAAAAAGTACTTCTAGTTAGCCATTATTAGAGTTTATAACAAGGTTTCTGAGTAAAATTATTTACACATCTTCTCAAGGTGCAGTTACCTATCTTGAAACGTAGCTGTTGTGTCACAGCACAGGGGAGCAAACCCTCCTTACACCCTCCTCCCTTCTCTTACTTAAGGTATTTTGTGTTGTCACTCTATCCTTTAGAAAATGAACTCAGAGGAGAATTGGTGAATTCCTATCCAGTGGGCATCTTCGAACCCTGGTGGACGGCAGAAGAATATCAGGTCCAGGGATCACCCACCCAGCGCGGCGACAGTGCAGGTACCTCTGCCTAGCACGGGGCTCCTGGAGACAGAGTACAGGTACCTCTGCCTAGCACGGGGCTCCTGGAGACAGAGTACAGGTACCTCTGCCCAGCACGGGGCTCCCGGGATTGCTGCAGGCAGCCCCTCCTCTGGTGCTTGTCCCATTTGCTGCTTTGAGTAAATACTTTCATCTTAGCTGCCTGGTGCTTCATGGCTTCCGGGAGGCAGTTAAAAGTTGCATTGCGCATCCTCTCCAAAGGGAAAATTCCTGCCAAAAAGAGCCCTTTGCAGTTAAATTAGATGAGGCATAGCTTGTCCTCACTGCTGACCTTATATCAGGCAGGAATGATGTGAGCCTCCTTTGTGGGTGCTGAGAGGATGCCTCGGTGTGGCCAGTGGGGAGGGAAGGGTGCCCATGACCCTCACGTGGAAATGGCTCGTGTAGAATCACTGCACACAGAATCTACACTTGCAGCAGAAGGAACTGCTTAGTAAAGCACTTGGGGTCTGATTTGGAGGATTGGGGAGGGATGAGATTGGCACATACCCAGTGGCTGCTGCCGGGCAGCACATATTTTTAGGGCTGGAGGTCAACAAGACTGAAATATGGCCCAAATCTCAGATCCTGCAAAGTATCTGGTTCTGAACGAGTGAGTGGAATGGGAACTCTGGTGTTATCTTCTCAATACTCACATTTCGAAGTACTTTTATATATGTCACTCTGATGAAGAAAAGAAGAAAATTCCGGTAAAAATGGCAATTTCTCAGCATGCTCTATAAGGAAAGCTGTGGCGTGCATTTTAAGGTTCACTGCGCAATCGTGATTTATTTGTCTGCCGACCGCCCCATGTGCCTGTCTGATAATAGAACTACTTACCACTGCACAGAAATTAGAGGCTGGGATTGTCTTCCATATGCCGCAAGCTTGTGGGTGCTGCAAGCTTCGAGAGCTTTATGAACTGCTGTAATAGGTCACAATTGTTCTAATCATTTTCTCATCTATACCCTATTCATTTTCTTGAAGAAACTCACTGCACTCATTGCTTCAGTTTTGGGAAGGCATTATGTTTAATCGTACATTTCCCCGAGGTTAAAACAACAACAATAACAAAAAGAAAAAACAAAAGAACCTATTCACACTGACTGTTCATGCACACTTGGCTTCAGAAGCAGTTAAAGTTTCTGAACTATAGGGGTTTCATATGTCTAGACTGTCTTGTTTTATCTCATCTCATTGAATTTTAGTAACAAGTTAAGGACGTTTATGACATATTTTATAAGGGTGTAATGTTTACATGTGGCTTCATTGAATTGGATTCTGGCGTTGAGTTAGATGTTCGCATTTCAATGAGCGTGCTCAGTGTAGTTGGATATAAAGCATTCACATACCAATCTCACCCGGAATTACATGAAACCACAAGGAAAAACAGTGAGCTGGATTTGCAAGCAACAGCCATGTTCATACTTGGCTTTCAGTAGGGTTCTCAGCTGAGGCATCACCTTTGATTTTGATAAGTGTCCGTTTTCAGAGTGGGAGAGCAAGTTGAACTTGGTTAGGGGAAAAAAGAGATCTCGAGGTTCTAGCAGCTGAAATCCTGTCCTGCTTTGCCCTGGAGACTGCCATGCTCAGTGGCATGTACACCGGGATCCCTCCAGCCAGGGCTTGGGTGAGCAAACCCTTCGGGGTGTAAGACAAGCTTAGCACCCAAAGGTCTCCAGGGGCCTCCAGATCCAATTAGATAATAAGAGCAAGACACACAACCAATGCTTGCATTTCACGTCAGTCTTTCCACTCAGTCCTCATTGTCTTCATTCAGTCCTCACCAATCATTCCTCACTTTCAGGGCTCTGGTAGCAAGGCTTAAAGGTCACCGTGACAGCCACACACTGTGAAGTAAGCAGACGCAGAGCCTCTGACTTCTGGGATTTGTTATCCATGTTCTTGTTTTTTAAAGATTAATATTTGACTCTCAGGGGATGGTCAATATCTATTTTCTCTATGTATGTCATAAGTACTTTAGTAAATGGGTGATACAATGAAATATATATAAAACAGTACCTAGAAATAAATAGATTTAGCATTATAGAATGGGAATACATTGCTATATTAATGAGAATACATCTTCACATAATAAGCTATAAAATGGCAATTTGTAAATCATTGTGTTACATAGACCTGGTGGGCCAACATTTTTTGTAGAGCCAGATACTATTTTAGACTTTGGGGAGGGAGTGGTCTCCGTGCAACTGCTCACCACTGCCACCACTGTCTGAAATGAGCCATAGGCAACAGCGAGCAAATGACATTGCCGCCTGACAATAAAACTTTATTTACAGCGTCAGTAGAGAACAGATTTGGCCTGCGAGCCTGAGTTTGTCAACCCATGGTGAAGACTTAAGTTCCCAGTTCTGAAATAGCCACAGTCACTTTTGGCAGAGAGATGGTCACTGACTCCTCCCTGGGTGAGCGGTCCCTTGCAAACTCACAGGACAGTCTAAAGTTACCATCCACAGACATGCTGCTCCCAGGAAAGCCCTTCGCTGACACTTGAGCCTGGTACCCAAGGTGGAGCTAGCAGAAGCTTCCACAAAGTCTGAAGAAGGATGAAGAGAGCAAGGTTGTCACCTCTGTGGAAATCAGAGCAGAATTCAAGAGACTCGAAAGATTTCAAGCGGAGGAAACCTTCCTAGTGTGTTTGTGCCTGTATCACCCTGTCTGACTAGAAATATCATCCTGAAAACTGTGTGGGATGTGAAACCAAACCAAATCCAACTGGAAGGGGTGTTTCCACGCCTGGATACAGGGGGAGTTCTGTCCGTAAAACCGCACCTACGCCAAAAGAAAACATCTTCCCGGAAGGGTGAGGGATGCCGGTCAGCAGTCTGTGGGGCAGAGCCGGACGTGGCCACGCGACAGGACCAGACCACACAACTGCTTGGGGTGGGATTCCATTCGGCCTGTTTTCCCACATCCTCTGCGACTACAAAACAAAAACATAAACATATGAATTTGACACATTAAAAAAAAATAGCGAACATGGAGAATAAAATACCAAACACAAAAGAGAACGATTTCTGGTTGCAGGGGACTGTACACCACTAGCTTGATAAAAAGGTTAATGCTGAAAAAGACCTTAACAATGCCATAGATGTTTTTAAAGGCTCCTTATGTTTGCCTCGGACTTCAAAAATCTTATTTGGCATGTGAATCTGTGTCATACGTGATTTAGCCAAAACAGAGCATTAGTTGACGTTTTCCACTGAGATGACTTGCTGGAATCAGTGTATCTTTAACATAGCATCCTACATGATAATACGTTATTACAGAATAAGCCAAAAGAGGTGATCAAGAGAGAAACAGCAGGAACACAACCTGCCGAGTGTGCTCCTACCGCACTGCCCAAGGAGCTGAGAGAGGAAAGGTCTGCTGGTCCCGTAAGTAGTTCAGTGTCCAGCAGAAATTTCCTAGAAAGTTATAGGATGTCAGACTGGAGAACAAATCCTAATTCTACCCCATCGTCTGCAGAGAAGTTACTTGGCTTCTTGAACCTGAGTTTCAGTTTCCCCATCAGTAAAATGGCCATAATAATTGCTTCTTAACAGAACTGTTACAAGGATTACATGTTATAAGTGTCTAAAACACTAGATTTAGTCCTTGAAACACAGAAGATGTTTTAGAATTTCCCAGAGCTGTATTGTTTTTGAAACGAGAAGTGGACAGAGGTGCCTGATTCCCCTCCAGATGGCAGCTCCCCAGTGAAGACCACCAACTGCATCACCTGGCTCTAGAAAGCTTTGAGTGGGTTTGGCCCCCGTTATTTCTTGGAAGTAAAACCTCCTGGAAAAAGGAGAGTCGCTCTCAGGGAGCAGAGGCACAAACAGCCGGGAACACTGATTCTGTATTTGAAGTAAAACACGCTCAGGGCTGACCAGTCTCCATGTCAGCATCTTTTATCCAAAGCACTTCAGGGACATCTGAAGCATTCGGAGAGCTTGGGCCCCTGAAGGCAGAGTGTGGCTTATTTGTGTACCCTGCTCTCGTCACATCACTGCTATGTCTATTGTGTAGGCACCCGAAAAATATCAGTCTCAGCAATGGGTGGGTCCATTACCTTCCCGTGTAAAGCCTTGTTTTCATTTGTTCATAATTTAGAAACAGCTGATGTGCAAGGACCTGCAGTAAGTGTTATAAAGTGTGAAAGTAAGATCCAGAACTTTCCGTATGCACCCCAACACACCTAAGGAGTGCTTTTAACTGAAGGTCAATAGTAGCAGAAATCATTACTTTTTATGTTCGTCTCTGACTTGGCACTTGTCTGCCTAGCATGCACATGTAGTACTCTTTTAAATGAAATACAATGCACACCCTCATCATGCAACCTTCCATCTTTTTTACCGCACACCCCTCCAACCTGGAGCCTCTGGGATGCCTGTGCTTCCTCCTCCTGTTGAGCCCACACCGTTCTGCAAAGTTACTCATAGATCTACAGGTGCCTCATAAGTCTACACACACATCCCACCAATGTGAAGTCGCCTGTTTTTTTGAGTTTCTCATTTGTTGTTGTTTGTGGGTGCAAGTGAAGGGATAAAATTTAACACACATCTAAATGAAGTAAATGCCTATCCTTTTAAATAAAATGCATTATAAGTGAATTATTTCAAATACCCCATCCATACACAAAAAATATTTTCTTTTGTGCATTTGTATAACGTATGTTTGAGTCAACTACTACATGCCAGATGTTATATAGAAATGGAATCAGAGAATTCTGCAGAAAAGCTGTTCTTGTTGAGCCATTTGATAAAGGTGAGGGCATAACAGCAACCACAACAAGAGAACAGCTGGAGGAGGAGCTACAAAGTCATGAGGATGAAACCACCCCAAAGGGGGAATCTGTGTGTTCCTGGAGAAGGCACGGAGGGCTGCAGAGTTACCTCCCAGGCTGGCTCCAAGGACATCTTTTGACTTAGACAAGGACAGTCCAGATGTGGTACCAGCATCAAGAAAGGCCCGAGGTTTGGGAGTGGGAAGTGGGAGGGAGGGCAGGGTGGGCCTGGTGAGTTTCAGTTGAGCTCTGTAGATGGTGAGAGACTACGGGTGAGTTTGAGCAAAGAGGAGACAGGGTCTGATTTCCCAGTGTGAAGTGTGGATTGGAGGAGCTAACGCCAGTGCCTGGAGGACAGGGGGCTGTTGACAGAGCCCAGGAGAAGTTGTTGAGGGTCTCCAGGAGGACAGGGGTATCTGGTTTGAAGAAGGTGAAGGTACATTTGGTGGGCGTACAGTGCAGCAACGCTGTGCAGATCAAGGTGGGATTCGGACGTCATCGCGCCCAACAGGGAAGAAGAGCGAAAGGGCTTCACAGTACAACTTTGAAAACATACACAAATTCTACACTCACCCCTCAAAACCTGGGATTTTCATCTGTAAAACAGTGGCAGTGTTTCCCACGTCATAGGGTTGTTGAGGATTATAGACGCTAATGCTTGTAAAATCTGCAGTGCAGCGGCTGGCAAGAAGCACCAGCCCTTCAAACCAGGGCCACCCTCATTATTATTCATAAAGAACCCAAGGCACACTTGCCTCGCCATAAAAGACAAAGGCGGAAGTGACCTGATTTACATCTGTGTTATGCTTTATGGTATTCAATCGAAGTGCCTTCACTTACTATGCAGCTATGTGGAGAGTGAAGACGCACTCTGAACCGATGCAGAAAGATTTTAGGAAGATTTTGTTAAAGAAAAAAGCAAGATACAGAAGATAAGCAAAACTATGATTTCACACACACATATGTATTTGCTTGTATTTGCATAAAAAATCTAGGATAGACAAAAACACTAAAAAATATGTATGGGGGTTACTAAGGGAAAAGGCAGGTTGAGAGGGAAATGTTTTCGTTGTTCTTGTTCATTCATTTATTAATTTGTTTCTTTATTTTTGAATGATGCAAATGTATCTCATATTCAAAAAATAAAATTTAAAAGAAACATGAAAGAGTACTTTCCCATAACCAATCTAATGTATCCTCACCGGCCCTTCATTTTAGGTAGAAAGGGATTATTCATACGATTTTACAACTAAGGAGACTGAGGATCCATGGCTTAAATGACTTGACCGAGGTCGCAGCCAGTGAATGACAGCTCTGGACTTCAATTCCAACTCGGAAACCCGTGCATTGCCACCCCCTTTCCCCTCATTACAATACACAGTTATGCTTGTGGAGTCTTATTCAGCATTTATGGCTAATATAGAGATGTATCAGCCTAAATGATTGGGATCAGAGCTAAGTGATGGGAGTGGATAAAGAAGACAGCAGTGCTGGTGGTGGAGGCTGGGAGGGAGGCCATAGGAGAGTGCTTGAAAAGGGCTTCCTGTTTCATGAGGACTTATCTGAGTGACCTGTAGACAAAACAGCCTCGCCCGTTCATGAGTTTGTAACAGTGGGAGGGAGGAGGGAGGGAGGGAGGAAAAGAGGCAGGCAGGCTAGATAATTAAGAAAGGAAATAAGGAGACGAGGAAGAAAATAAATAAAAGAAGAGGGAGAAATTCTCCTATCAGATTCTCTAGTTAACAATGTTTGCCTAATAAACACAATTACCTTTTAATAACTTCAGTTTTTCCCATAGCTCTCATAATATTTCATACATGCTCTTCTTTCTAAAATTCACTACTTTAAAACTTGCTTTGCAAAGTAGAAAAATAAAATATTTTATTATTATGTACTTCTTCAGTAATAAAGGTCAGAATCTCAAAGTTATTTTTAAAAAGTATTTTTGAACACAACATTCAAGAAAGAGCTATGAGGTGATAATGTGAGAAAGCAGCAGTTGTGGAAGAAATTCTTTAGAATAATAAAGGAAAAAGTAATTTTATATCCTAGTTATGTTTTATACATTAAAACAGCTATAAAGGACATATGGACAGTTGGGGAAAAGTGAATATTCCCAATATTCTGTATATTTTATGATACGATTTAAATAATATTAACTTCCTTTTCTGTTGAAATTACACATCGATTATGTGGGAGAGTGTGTTTTTTTCTTAGAAGGTAAATGTTCACATATTTAGGTGTGAGCTTGCCACGATGTCTGTGAGGTTCAGGAAAATATGTATGTGGCATGTGGATGTCTGTGGTCACCTGTGTGCACGTGTGTGTGTGCGCGCGCACGTGTGTGTGTGTGTGTATGTATGTGTGTGTGTGACTGGTTCATGTACCCCACCTGTACTTGGTGTCTAACATGGACAAAGTTACAAAGTAACCTTACTGCATCCATTTCCTTAGAGACGTACTTTAGACCATCAGAGGTAGATCATAGAACTCGAAATCTCCTTTCCAACTTAAGGAAAGATGAATTGTCTCTGACTGGGGGGTCCGCGAGCTCCGCTTCTGGTGTCCCTGGAGAGCCGGCGCAGGTCCCCTTTCCAGCAAAGACTCATCCGGGAAAGTAGCTGGCAGGCCTTGACTGCCCCTTATTTACAGGTTAGGAGGAAAGAGTCCCGCCAAATGGAGAGTTTTCTAAGCCAAAGTGTTTATTGGTGAAGCTGCAGGTGAACTTTGAGTGCCGTTCTTTCCTTCTATCACAGTGCATTTATGTGTCCTGTGTCCGATTCATGAAAATAAACTGCTCTAGCAGAACACTCCGTTTGGGAACTTGTGTACATGGAGTGCAGTCCTACAGGCAGGGGCTACAGGGAAGCTGTCTTTGAACAACGGCGTGTGTGTGCTCCTGAAAGCCACGTCTATTGTCTGTTGCCAGCACGTGTCTTTCTTTCACATGCCCTGAAAGCACATTGCAGAATGTCACAGGTTTATGCAGATGGTATTTCTTCTCATTCATTCCCACACAGAAAATAAAAAGGATAGTTGGTCAACCGACAATCTGGGGTGGCTGCTCTATGTGAGGCATTGTGCTAGGTCTTGAAAAGTAACCAAAAGATAAGAGCCAGTGTTGACGCCCTCGGTGGCTCGGAAGTCAGGTGTTTAGGAAACTTGGTCGGCTTGGACCCACATGGATGAAGCAGCAAAGAGATGTCGTGATGCCCACGTGTTTTGTTCATAGTCGCGCAAGCCAGCCTCATCCAAACAGGATACGTGAAACAGACGTTAGATAAAAACAAAATGAAACACAAATGGCAGCAGGAAATGATACGTTCCAAGGGAATACTTGAAAGACCTAAAAAAGCAAAACCACAGGAAGGAAGAAATGAAGGAAAGAGGAAGAGGGTGCAAAATAATATGGACATAACTATAAGAAAAAAACACAATGAAAAACAAAAAACAAACGCCTATTCACCTATATGACCTTAAACATTCCAACAGCTTGACGGCATCACCATAATCAAATAATCTAAATTAGCCAAGTTCATTAAAAAGAGCTAAATTACGTACACTATTTTTGTTTAATATCCATAAGAAATTAAATTTATATAAATTATATGTATTCTTTTAAATTATAAAAATATGTGTATTGCTATGGGGATGATATTGAGGTCATTTTTTGCTACATGAAACATGCATGAATAAGAATTATGAGGAAAAAAAATATTTCTCTCAATGAAAAAGAGAAGCAAGAACTTTGCTGTTTTCTGATAGACATAAAATTTATACCCGTTCCCATTTCGTCTTTGTCACGGACCACTAACACTTTCCTGGGTGTGTTGAGGCAAAGAATCCATTCAGAACTTATGACAGCATAGGAGGTCAAAGTCCTTTTGTTTGTGTTGTTTTGTCTCTTACTTAATTGCAACTACTGTCAGGCAACATAAATTCTATTTCAGTGATACGTCTTCAAAATACCTTGTCACAGATTTGCAACTGATGATTTGCTCTTACAGAAAATATGAGTAAGTATAACCGAAGCAGGTAGGATAAGAGATGGCATCTTAGCTACCGGGGTGGTGATGAAGGCCCCCACCTTAGGTCTCAAACGGAGATCCTCAGAGCCCCATATAGAAAGAAAAGCAAGGGTGGGGGTTCTAATGGAGGTGGTCCCGGAACCGTTCTTTAAACATCACTCATTTAGGGTCAGGTGGTCCTGCTGGTAGTTTCAGAAACAGGTGCACTTGGTAGGTGGGGTTTATTCTGTGGATAGACCCATTTAGCCAAGATCTTATTTCTATATTCTACCTGGAGCTCTGATCTCCATTGAAGACATAATGGGGTGGTCATGAAGGCCCCCACTTCTACTTTTATCGGTGCTTGCAGTAAATTTATCTGCCACCTTTCCAAGGTCACGGGGTTACAAATCAAGGGGTTGCAGGGTGGCAATTCAGGTTACTGTGAGCACTGATAAAAGGAGCAGTGCAAACCGCCACCTGAGAGCAAGAGAACGTTTCCGACGCCTGTAAATATGGCCATGTCTGAACTAGTTGGAATAGACTAGGCTGTTTAAAACATGAATTCAGAAATGAACTCAGAAAGCAGAACCCTGATTAAAGTTTATTCTTTACTCACGTCACAGCTTACTGCCAGCTGGGCAGCCCCTTCAGTGCATGGCCTTGCCCTGTGGAATCTGAGTCTTCCAGAAATTAGCGTGGCCATGAAAACTGTGCAGGACACTTTGGGCTAGACCACAGTGTTCCGTTAGTCAGAGTCAGATTCAGACCCCAATCCACTGCCCGGGAAACTTGGAGGTGTAGACATCCTGTGTGCCCAGGAAGAGGGGTGACATGGACATGAGCAGAGCCTCAGATCTGCTGCTTTCTGAGGGGTGAGGCAGGAGGGCTCAGCTGCTGTGGACCACGGGCACCGCCTGCCTTCCCACCCAACCTTCTCTGTGGACCCCAGACACCAGCTGCATTCCCACCCAACGCCTTTCTCTGTGGACCCCAGACACCAGCTGCCTTCCCACCCAACCTTCTCTGGACCCAGACACAGCTGCCTTCCCACCCAACCTTCTCTGTGGACCCCAGACACCAGCTGCATTCCACCCAACCTTCTCTGTGGACCCAGACACCACCTGCCTTTTAACGCCTTTCTCTGTGGACCCCAGACACCAGCTGCCTTCCCACCCAACCCCTTTCTCTGTGGACCCCAGACACCAGCTGCCTTCCCACCCAACCTTCTCTGTGGACCCCAGACACCAGCTGCATTCCCACCCAACGCCTTTCTCTGTGGACTCCCAGACACCAGCTGCCTTCCCACCCCAACCCCTTTCTCTGTAAGGCCCAGACTGCCAGCTGCCTTCCCCACCCAACGCCTTTCTCTGTGGACCCCAGACACCAGCTGCCTTCCCACCCAACCTTCTCTGTGGACCCCAGACACCAGCTGCATTCCCACCCAACCCCTTTCTCTGTGGACCCCAGACACCAGCCCCCAGACACCAGCTGCATTCCCACCCAACCCCTTTCTCTGTGGACCAGGGGCACTGTCCACATTCCCTACCTACCCACCCCGCTTCCCGTGTTCTAACTTGGTTTTGTTGCTAATATCATCTGGCACCCAACACGGGTCTGCCTTCAAGGAGGACTCTGGTGAACTTGCTTGTCCGAGCTGAGTTTGGGGTCCAAATTCATTTGTGTTTCCTGCAGAGATGCACAGACTGACTTCTGGCCGGAAACACTGGTCTGTGAAATTGGACGTTGGCTAAGCGAGTCTATCCTGAGCATAAACGCCACCGGGTATGCCTGCTTCCGAAACTACCGGGAGGATCACCTGGCCCTAAACCAGTGTTCAAAGAACAGTTCTGGGACCACTTTCATTAGAACCCCCAACTTTGCTTTTCATTTTCCATGGAGCTCTGATCTCCATTCCAGACCTAAGGTATCAGAATTTCTGGTATAGGGCCTGTATATAAAAAATTTAATAAATACCCCCACAAATTCATATGCACATTAATGCACAGCTCCTGCCCAGAGTGGCAGCACATTCACTGAGCTGATGCATCCACCTCGGAGGCTCCTGGGTGCTGGCGTCCCCAGCACCATCCTGCTCTATTGCCTCATACCCAGGGAGCAGGGTTCTTTGTCTTTGTTTCTTCATTTCATTTTGTCAGCTGAGACCTGGGAAATATAATGACACATCCTTCTTATTTCAAGTTCTTTTTATTATTTTTTACTGTCTACCATTTTACAATAGAAGGATTCAACATAGGCACAAGTGGAGTTGAGCCCCAAATGTACATCTTCAAGCTCCCAGAGTGGCCTCGCTTATCCCGCCCGTTCTTCCTCGCGCAGGCATGGGTCACTCTGAAGCAAATCCAAGTGAGTGTGTAATTTTAGCTAGAAATAATTTATCATAAATTCCTAAAAATAATAGTTCTTTTTATAAAAACATAACCACCCATCAAACCTTACAAAAAGGTCTTGTTATCAAATATCCAAACAGGATTCACATTTCACATATGGTCTCACAAAGGTACTACTACACTTTGGTTTTTGTTTTGTTTTGTTTTGTTTGAGACAGAGTCTCACTCCATTGCCCAGGCTGGAGTGCAGTGGCACAACCTCAGCTCACTGCAACCTCTGCCTCCTGGGTTCAAGTGATTCTCATAACGCAGCCTCCCAAGTAGCTGGGACTACAGGCACGCGCCACCTTGCCTGGCTAATTTTTGTTTTTTGTGTTTTTTTTTTTTTTAGTAGAGATGGGGTTTCACCATGTTGGGCAGGCTGGTCTCGAACTCCTGACCTCAAATGATCCACCTGCCTTGACCTCCCAAAGAGCTGGGATTACAGGTGTGAGCCGCCGTGCCCGGCCCAGTTTGTTTGTTTTTGAATTGGAATCTAATAAGATCTGCAGTGGCATCTTACCGACATGTGTCTTGAATCCTCTTTTGTGGTCTACATAGCCTTTCCTTCCTTCTCCTCCCTGCCCCTTACCTCTTGTGACTTATTTTTTGAACAAGCTGGGCAGAGGGTCCCCCAGTCTGTGTTTTCCTGAAGTCACTTCTTTGGTGCCATTTAACATGTTCCTCTGACCTCTGAGTTTCCTGCAAACTGGTGGTTAATGCAGAGACCTAAGCCACCGCAGCTTTGATCTTGTATCTTTTTGAGAAGGTGGCATGCAATGTCTGGTTGCCTCCCATTCTGTAGCCTTACAGTTGGCAGGTAGGTACCCATGTTGCCCAGGCTGTGAGCCTGATCAACCTGTTAGGAAGTTTCCCCTCAACCTTCTCCCTTGTGGCTTTGGCAGTAGTCAGTGACACCCATGGCCTAGATCCACCATTTCTCCAGGGTTACGGATGATATTCTATCATTCTTAATTTACGATTTGGAGGACTTCTCTACAGAAAACATTCCCTCATCAACCATTTGGTTTCTATTGCATAAAAATCAAAGTAAATGTTTTTCTTGCTTTAGCACTTTTTCAAATAATAGTATTTTTTCTCTTCCAATGAGAAATACCAACACTAAAATATGAACAGGCATGTACTGAAGCAAACATTTGGTACTTCCTGAGGTTTTGTTTTTGTTTGCAAAGCCTACATGGTCTTTCTTGTGCACATACTACTCACGATGATGAAAGTCAGAACTAACATTGAGTTTTGAAGATTGTCATGTGCTATGTGGGAGGCACACATATTACCTCGTTAAACTTCTCAACACCCCATGAGGTTGATGCTATGATCATCCTCATCTGCAGATGAGGAAACTGAGGCACAGAGAGAAGTGGATTGCCACTCAACCATGGCCACACAGCTGTTACGTGACAGACCTGGGTGCTGTTGCATGGTGTCCAACCTGGAGCTCTGGCCCAGCATCTGAGCACTTTAGGCTTTTGAATTCACTCACAGCCTGCTGCATGTTTATGAGGGTAAGGAGAGAAAGAAGAAAAAGTAGCAAACAGAAGAATCTCCCAGAGGAAATTCAAGTGATCAACAATTTAATGTAAAGGTACTAGACAAGGTAATAGCACAAGCCTTTTCAAGGTCATCTGCTTGGTTAACTGGGCTGAAGGCTGCCGAAGGCTTTAATGGCCAGAAGTTGCTAATGGCCTTTCTGTCCTTTGAAGAGATCTTTAATTCTCAAGGGGTATCCAGGGGGATCCACACCCCCTCGCTAAGGCAGCTCCCAGGTTGGCATTGGCCACCTCCTAGTTGGCAATCTCAACACAGGCCTGTGGGTGAAGAGAGTGCTGGTCTGAAGGCAGCCTGCACTTGGCAGTGAGGAGCACCCCAGCATCTGGGGGTGGGGCAGGAAAGCCAGGTGAGATCCCACACCACACCTGGTGTGTGTTAATTAAGGGAGTTTCCAGAGCCTTTGGTTGAGCACCTCTCACCTCCATTTAAAGCACAGCTGTGCACCTAATTAAAACATGCATTTGCAGTGTAGAGGAGGGTCTATTCAGCGTCAACACCTGAGTTTTGAGGACCCTGAAGAGACCATGAATACTGTACCCTTGACCCCATTTCCAAGTCAGCGATTCCCATATGGACTCAATAAGGATTGCCTAGCATGCTACCTCCCTTCCTTTTTAGCACAGGCTGAAAAGCAAGTCTGTCACCGTCACCCTGACAGCCCTCTGCTTCACCAAGTATTTTCCTGGGAGTCTCGGGAGCTCTTCACGTGTCCCCATGCTGGCCGATTGCTACAGCAACCTGCGGATCGTGGATGTGAGATGTAGGCAGGTGGAAACTTGTCAAGGTGTAACGGGTGCTTTAGATGTCAGGTTAGACTTCTTCTCCTACAGATGCTGCATATGTGCTGGAACACCAATCCTGAGACGAGGTACACAACAAAATGCCCTATAAGTAAGGGTGCAAATGGCATGAGGCCCTGGAGCCCTTCAGCAGGAAATACCAACATTCCCCCACCCCATCACCCCTTCCCTGGAGCAGAGGCTCTGGGTCCGCCTGTGCCATCTGCCTGTCGGTGAAAGACACATGTCATCATGGACCGTTGCTTCTGCTTGCCTAATCCTCCATGTTGATATTAAGTTCTTTATATCCAATTTCAAGTGTGTGTGTGTGTGTGTGTACTTGAATGTTTGTGCATCCATATGTGCAATGTGTGCACCCATGTCCACCTATGCATATGTGTGTGTGTGTGTGTGTGTGTGTGTGTATGCCATGGGAGGAGAGAGAGAAGCAGAGCTATGACTGAATAAAAAGCCATTGCTGATATGAACTGATATGAATTGCATTTTGATCCAAGACAGTGACCAACCCTAGCTAAGGTTTCTGCTTTTAGTCACTTAAGTGCAGAGAAGAAAGAAGCGATCTCATGGTGCGCGTTTGTGATAGGCCCCTGCAGGCTTTGTCAGGCGCAGCCCAGGAGTGACAGCCTGGAACATGCAAATCACTGCTAAGGTGACTGCATGCCAAACACACTGTTTCACAGCTCCCCGGGAGTCTGCCAAACCTTTCCTTGCAGATTTTTTTCTAGGAAACAATGGCAGGGAATCAGAAGTGGGTTTTTTTTTTTCCTTCTTCTTCTTTTAAAATAAAATCTGCCTAGTGAGGGCCAAGGCATACACAGAGTTAGTCCAGCGGATATTCCTTCACAGCCCACTTGCTGCAAACACTGTGTGGTCTCAGTGTGTCTGCACATGGCCCCTGGCTGGCAGGGCTGTGTGATTGTAGCCAAGGGGAGACAAAATGAGGCTTGGACCCATATGGAAGGTAAACTGAGTCTCCAGAAGGAATGTTACTGAAAAACATAGTGCAAAGGGCAAGAGATCTAGGAATGGAGAAAGGAACCAGGAGAGAAGCTCCCTGCAGAACTGAAGCCTGACCTAGGTATGAGGTCTCTCTGGTGCGAGGCCTCTGCAGAGTCTGGCTCTGTGGATCCATTGTCTGCTGTGAAAATGTAGGGACATAAGACTGGATCTACCCTTTGAGAGGTGCTGACTGCTGCACCCAAAGGCCCAAAGACCTGCTGGTGTGATGCAATCTCAGTGTGGAGAAATATTTCTATGGCAACTGACATTTTCTTTTAAAATTAAATGAGAACAAAGCAAACCATGCATATCCTATAAAAGAAGCAGATGAATGTATAGGAAAGGAAATGATGGCAGTTTTGCTCCAGTGGAAGGCCCAGGAGGCGTGTCTCAATATTTCATCTCCTGCCTTTCCTCATATGCTCAGCACATGTATCATCTGAATTTCTCACTGGCCTCTGACATTGCCAAGAACAAAGATAAAAAGATACTACAAGTCACTGCATTTTGTGAAAATTGTAATGAAATTAAAATAGTAACC